ACCAGTTTAAACCAGCAAAGGACCAGCATAAACCAGCAGCAAAACATACCTAACCAACATATGCTGGTTTTTAGTGTTTTTTTTTTTTTTTGCCTTAATAGCTTTTTTAAACACTTTTCACTTTCTAGCTACTTCATTTAGCTGATCTACTAATCCCTAACACTGGATATAAATGCATGACAGGACAATTCAGTATTTTTTTCTGTCATCATCAACATTTCCACTGCAGTTACATTTCCAGATTAAATTATGAATTGGAAATAATTTACTATACAAATAATATGTGCAATGGAAATGATGGTGGTGTGGAAGGACCAACATCAGGACCAAAAAAAAAAAAGAAAAAAAGAAGGCAAATAAGTGAATGGAATAAAATGGCAAGGTCCTTTGTGTTGCTAAGGCAAATTTAAGAGCTAGCATATCCTAAATAGCCTACACAATATTTTCACTCCTTTTGTATAATTTGACAAAATTACAGACTGGGAATGATTATGATCATTTTACACAAGTAATATTTTTCTTTTCTACCTACATCATATATTTATAATTAATAATAATAGATGTATCAGGCAAAATTATTGGTGGAGAACACTACAGAAGTTTACTTAATCCATTTGTGTTGGCATAGTTGGCATAGCATTGCTGAAACTGGGCAGGAGTTCTCCAGTTCCCAGCATGCTTTGTATATACTGACTGGGAGTAGCTAAATGTTGAAAAGGTTTTTGCACAAGGTAAATATATTAATTTCATAAGCTGTCTGAGTTTATTGCAAAGAAACCAGTGAACACTTTCCCTAGTTTATAGATTTTCCAAGAACAACAACACATGGTTGATTTAAAAAAAAAAAATTATCTGACTAGAAATGGAGAAATTGTTGGCCTAAATAAGCTACAATATGGACCAGACCTTTGATTGTCCTGTCTAAGGTCTGGATATACAAGGTTTACTCAGAACGCAGTTATAGATTGCAAATTAGACAACATTTTCAAGCTTTTTAATATATCCTTTATTTAACAGACAGACATAAAACAGTTTTTATAAAAAAGTTCTGAATATTTTCTTAATTGTACATTTGTGAGATTAGTAGCTAAGAGTTTTTAAATGATTCAAAATGATTTTAAATGAGATGTTCAGTAACACATTTGAAAATTAACTGGCAGTTTAAAAATGCATGGGGTATTCTGCCAATCTGAGACGTCACAGGTAGAGAATCGTTCTAGTATAATCTTTCACTCACTGGTGTGACTGACTGAGATTGTAGAGTAATGCTCTGAATCAGTCAGTGGTCTGTTTGTTCTGTGACAGCACTTTGAGTGATAGATCTTCTTGTTCCTGTCATTAAGGGCTCAACTGTAATCAGTGCATTGATTGTTGAGAAACGGGAATAGCTCTGTGCTGTCGGTGTTTATGAAGTGAACATGATAAGTGTCCTGAAATAGACTCCTACTGCACCACTTATGACCGCATCTGCCGTCCGTCTCAAACACCTCTCCTAAACCAGTGACGTGCCTCTCGTTTTTTCATGATAAAGAAACGATCAACCCAATTAAAATTCTGTTATTATTTACTCATTGTTATGCCATTCCAAATCTATCTATCTATCTATCTATCTATCTATCTATCTATCTATCTATCTTCTATCTATCTATCTATCTATCTATCAGGATCATGCAGTTCTTGAGAACTCAGTGACTCAATATAACAATTAACAGCTCCAGAAATATTACCGGTGAATAACAAGTTAAATTTCCATCTTAGTCATCCAGACAGGGCGTCACAAATCCAAAGAATATGATCTTGCTATACCATCAAGTATAGACAGTAAGCAGTGTTAATAGTCTACCAATGTATCTTTTGAGCTTGTAAACTTTGTGGCAGGACGTTACAGTTTGTTGTGTCCTCATTCCTATATAAAGTACTCTGTTAATAGCTGGGTGTCTTAATGGGATAACAGTGTATTTAGGGAGTGAGCTATTGATATGAGGTTAATTTAAGAGTCTTGGTGACTGACACACATTGGTTTTGAAAGTGTCATGTCTACGTCCGTAAATGGATTTGTAACAGTGAATATTACTTAAAATGTTACAGTACTTTACACCAAATTTGTGCACTATGAATTGAATTTTGAATAAGAATTTACTAAGTAATATGAATCTACTTTTGGGTTCTAACATAAAGTCAAAACTGTGACTGAATTGAGACTCATTCATTGAGAATATTACATTTCTTGAACAAATTTTACTATGTACGTCGTAAGTTTGTAAATAAACCGACAAAAATAAAGACATTAAATACATTTGAAGCAAATAAATAAAAAGTCAGTTGTTTATTTGCTTACCTGCACTGTAAGCGCTTATTAGGTGCCAGTGCTTTGGTGGCTTGTTTTGAACCTAACAGTTAAGTGTGTGTCTGCGAAATGCATTTAAATGCCTTTGTGGATATGAAAATGATGTATGTGTGTCTTTGATGTGGTGTGGGCACATGGATGCTACACACCCCAGAGCTCTCTCTCTCACTCACTTACCGTGTCTCTCTCTCTTGCTGTGTAACCTGAGCTAGGGGCCAAATTTAGCGGTGCTCAGTAAGCGGTCAGGGCCCGAGACAGATGGGACAGTAGGCCACTCTGCAGCCACTCTAACCGGCTCACCTCAGAGCACTCGGCAAAACAAGACAAAAGAAACACAGGACAGAGAAAAGACCCACAACTCCATGAAGAAAGAAACACATCTTTTCTAATTTTCTGGCATAGAGAAGTTCAGAAAAACTGGAACCTTCTGAGGAGGACGGATATTTGCAAAAACTGACTTAAGGTAAATGGCTGTTTTTTATATAGGCCTATATATACATAATGTCATTGACTTTTTGCTTTTGTCTGTAAGCAGAAGATTCCATGTGAGTTGTTTCATTCTGCTTATTCAAGACTATAAATTTAAGTAAATTATTTAACTAGATTCAGAATGGCTCTCAATGAATGGTCATCTGAGATATTTGGTTTCAGCTTTACATTCACTTCACTATTTCATTGAATTTCATCCAGCATCAGATTAATAGTTCTACACTTTTACAAATAATTCTGATAAAGAGCATTCTACTGTTTGCGTCAGAGATGGAAAAACAAGCATGTCAGTCTGTCAGTCTTGGCTTTCACTATTGTTTGGCATGTCACATTCATATTCCGCTATCTATAATTCATCAATACAGAATAAAGAGCCCATAATTTCCACATGAATAATGTAGAAGCAGTGTGTGTGTGCGCTTATGTGTAAAAAAAGGACTCTTGATGGGGAGGTGGTTGCTGCTGTGAAATGCAGCCCTTGAGGATTAAAAATAACAACAGCTGGCCTTCAGGACGCCATGACAGGAGAAAGTCACACTGTCACGTCCCTTCAAATACACACATGCTCGCACACCTTTACATACAACACCTGGTCACTTTACATAAACATTGTGTAAACAAAGTCGGCTATAACAAAACCTGGAGACATGGTTATTATACAGTACTGTATAACATCAATTAATAGGCCATAAATAATAAATATACATGTGTAAACAAACATTTACAGTGGAAATGTAGTCATAAAGTTAGCAGGGACACATTAATGTGTCTCAGACATGTGCATGGAGCGTTCACACACACCAGCCAGTTCCTAGTTCTGCACGTATTCAGAGCTGAGGTGTGTTTTCTCAGAGACCTGATCTGTTGGTTGAGGGGGTTCGCTATGCTGCAGACACTGTCTCATATTAATGTTTCACCAATGTGCGGTATGTCAGACCAAACACTTTCCCTGAATTATGGTGAAGGATCCTCTCCACAGGTTATTGAGGATACCATCATTCACAGTCAGATTTAAATGTGTTTTTCGCAAAAATCAAATCCACATAGGGTCATAAAGCCATTTATAAATGAAAACAACAACTTTCTATGAGTTCTAAAATATTCATTTAGATGTATTCATCAACTGTACCATCTGTACGTGTGAAGTTCAGTTCCCACATTTTAAGTTTAACCTGCAACATCCTACCTATTAAGATCCCTACATCTGATTGGGTTTGGAAGGCAGCATGGATGCATCCTTCAGTGTCTATGATATCCAACAATACTGTGTGTGAATTTGGGAGGTTGGATGAAATTTTATTTATTTATTTTAATTTAGACTCAACTTAGACCAAGCATTGTATTATGTAAATATTTGCTGAATCTGTTTTCATTCATAAAGCATGACATTATGGAATCTTAAAACCCTTCCTGAAACCTACACAACCTATCATCATACACAAAATACTGTTATATATTTGTATACAATGTTTTATTTATATGTTTAAAAAAATCTACATATAAATATGTCATTATTTTTATTCATATACAATATCGTCCAAAAGTGGTCTGTAAGAATTTGTAATGTTTTTGAAAAGTCTCTCACTGAGTTGTTTTACAAGACTGCATTTATTTGATCAAATGTACAGCAATTTAAACATAACAATTTAAAATAACAGTTTTCTATTTTAATATGTTTTGAAATGTAATTTATTCCTATGGTGGCAAAGCTGAATTTTCAGCAACCATTACTCCAGTGCAGGGTGAAGGCTCTGGAAAAATAGATATAGATTAATGTAGGGACAGTGAAGAGTAGATGATAGACAAGGGAATAAAAGAGATAAAGTCAGCATGAGTGTTAAATTGCACTCATGCCTTGTTGGGCCTCATGACATGCCTTTGTTAATGCCGGACAGCTGTGCCCAAAATATGCCAGCCTGAGTCATCATACGACAACTGCCCATGATCAGTCTCCGGTGTGAGTGTGTTTACACTAATTTAAGTGCATGAATGTGGTATATATTGCAGAAATTGCTTGTCTTTAGGACTATGATTCTGATATATCTGATCTTTATAAAAAAATAATAATAATAATAATACTAGGGTCCGCAATTTTTTCATATCTTTCTCTTTGGTGATTTGTGTATTGCAGGATGCAGGACAGGAGATGGAATGACACACTCCCCCTCTCTCTGCTGATGAAAGAGGCATGTCCTCCAGGGGGCGTGTCCTTGGAGGGGGATGGGGGCATGCTTTCGTTGACACCTCTTGATGGCGAGGTTTACTTGGACTCGATGGCTGAGTTAGAGAGTGGGGACGGGGACTTTCCAGAACTTTCTGCTTTCCTGAGCCAGGATGAGATCAGCCTCAGTCTGGACCTGGCTCGAGAAGCCATGAGTGACGCAGGTGACCCAAATGACCAAGATGAACCCCCCGTTCCCACAGAGCACCTGCCCCTTTACTCAGAAACCAAAGACCCCATTCTCCCAGATTCAGCATCTCAGTCAACTGATGCCACATCAGGTAAAGTCACATCCAATCAGAGCATGCCGCTCAGCAGGCCTAACCAGCTCTGCACTGCTCCTGAATCACCCGAAAAGTTTGTCAGTCAAAAATCCATCACACCAGTATATAAGCAGGACCGTCCCCGGCTGGTCCACGGAGGCCTGGAGCTCAACGAACGAGCTACTTCAGCTACTGAGTTCTGCAGCCGAGCTGCTACCTTCATTGAAGAGCTCTCTTCCATCTTCAAAGGCTCCACACGTGTGGACCAGCAAGGTGATGAAGACTCCTCTTCACCTGACAGTGGCTACTTGTCTCCAAGGAGCCAGCGGCTGGCCATGCAGCAGGCTCAGCCACCTTCATCATTTTCATCTTCATCTGAGCCCCAGCAGGAAGGTATGCACCAGGTTCGGGCTGATGTTGGGTCAGATGAGCATCAGGGCCTAGGGGTTAGTCTAGATGGACCCAAGAGTCCTCCACACTTCACCCAGAAACTGAAGAGCCAGGAGGTGGCAGAAGGAAGCCCTATCCGCCTTGAATGTAGAGTGACTGGAAACCCCCTTCCACTAGTCAGGTAGGATAACCTGGTTTATGCTACTCAGGTTTTGCCAGTACCCCTTAACTTTGGGTTGTGTTGTTGTCAAAAATGAACCTAATAGATTCTATGAAAGAGATTGTTGAATATCAGTATTGAAGTTTAGGTGTAGCTTAGTTTACTATAGAGGGCAACAGCTAGTGCCTGCCCTCTTTTACATCAGCCTCTACAAAGCTGTGAACCAAATCAACCAGCAATGTGAATCATAACATTACAAACTTTGATTTGAAGCAAAAAAAGTAGGGCTGGGTAAAATATATTGTTATCTCGATTTTAATCGATTCTCTTTTTTACAAAACGATTCTTAAATCTCAAGAATCGTTTATTCTAGCCTGATTGAGCGATTACATGAGACAGGATACGGATTATAAAGTTGTACTCTTTCTTTTAACTTTCCTTCAGAGGTTTAGTCATGTTTATTTTGTGCCGAAGCTGGTATTAATGTGGAGGAGCTACATGGGCGTAGCTTGTGGGGGGGGCTAGGGGGGCCTGGCCCCCCCATAGCATTAAAGAATTGTACTAAATATTTATTTATAACGTTTTTTCTATGAAGTAAAAATGCATATAATGTAGTTAATAATACATGTAAACGGGAATACGTAAAAGTTAATACATTTTAAATTGTTATTGTAAGTAAATTAATAAATCAAAACAAACTTAACGTCTCCCTCAATCTCATTTGCGTAAGAGCTGTCACGTGACGAATCTGCATTTTGGTGGATAATAGACTTAACGGTAATGCTTGCCTGTTGTGTGAATAAAATTATGTTCCGCGTTTTTAACAACATACACGAAATCTGGAGACAACAAAAAACTCCGATGAAGATATTAATGCCGTCCTTGATGATTCCGGACCAGATATCAGATAAAGGTGATCCACAGGACGCAGCCGGTTTAGCCGCACCCTACCTTTATGCCGACCATTTACATCCAAATGTTATTTAATTTTCACAGAACACAACCTTTAAATAGATTTTAGAATATAAACTGTTTATCGTCTATTCAGTAAGACTAAATAAAAAGTGTGCGCCTCATTGCCCTGGGGGGTCGCGAAAACAGCCTGTGTCATTTGCAGTGCTTCGTGGGAGTGGGTGGGCACTAAAGTGTTCTTCTGGCGCAATTTGCTTGTTGCGATTCTCTGATATACATATAAGCATATACCATCAATTAACAACATTGTAGCTTACAGTAGATCTGTCTAAAGATTTATAAGTTACTGTTCAAGATCAATTCCCTTTGAATGGGATTTTTACTACCAGAGCCTGACTGTCACAATGTCAATTAGTAGGCTGACCCAGAAGGCTAATTTATGTAGCAACTTGTTAGGGACTTTTTAAAGCACAAAGTGGTTTCTTGTTTGTGGTAATAATTGTGCCAATTGTGTGTAATTTAAGTAATTTGAAAGTTTCTTGAAGTAACTTTAACATGAAATAAAATGTAAAAAAGAAAATGAAAATTCTCAGGGGAATGCTTGATTCTCTGCCTATTCTCAGCTCTGTTGCACTGAAGGAAACATATTGGGTAAAAAATAGAACTATGAGGAAAAATTTAGGAATTTTTGGTGAACTTATCCTTTGGTTTATTCATCAAGCACGTGCAAAGGAGAAACTAGCTGTGCCCATCATAGATCGCTTGCTATTATAATAAACTGCTTTGTTTACTGTGTGAATGAGATCTTACAGTAGCAAGACAGTCATGAGGGCACTTTTGCTTGGTGATTCAGGAATTTGATATTTTTTTCGTGCCAGCACTGGAAATTATAACAAACAAACAGATGCTATTTTTAGTGATGCAGCAGTCTTGCTGGTGCGGCGCCAAACTCAGTCCCTCCTGCAAGTGACTCCTCAGTGCTGTGCAACCTCAGAATGATTCCTGCAAATGTTCCAGTGGAACACAAACACAAAGGGAGTGTGTGAATTATTCAATGACTTTCAGGAGAGTTGACTTTTAAATAGAATTTCTGTCAGTAATTTTTGAGGTTCTTGTGCAATGTAAATCTTGATATGTTTGTGCTGTATAAAACTAAAGTGACTTATATTTTGTAGATTTACTGTCCAATGCATATAATAAAACATATAAAACCTTTTGTTTTGACTTCCTTTGGGGGGTTCAAGTATTAATTAGTGGAATCAGAGCCCTTCCAAACCCCCCCCCCCCCCCACCCCCCCCCGCCCCAACCCTAACCCTAACCCTAACCTAACCCTAACCTAACCCTAACCCTAACCTAACCCT